GGGATTAACTTGTAGCGTGGTGTCGAGTTGAGATTAAATATGAACACCGCTACCAAGAAACACGTGCCAAATAAATCAGAAGGCGAAGGTCGAACGTAACCAAATAAATCCCCGAGAAGCCGAATACCAGAAGGCAATTAATGGACCAAGTCGAGGTCTATTAGCTGGCGATCTCGTGGCATCGAAAGGATACCGAGATCGTGCCAGGATACAAGCTTGGTTACAGAACGTAACCGAATGCGCGCGAAGTTACAATCGAAGTGTAAGTAAAAGAATGGAAGCAGAATATAGCTGTCATTAGCACAGTCAAACAAAAGCACATTAAAACAAGCACTGGTACAGTTGGTTATAATAATAATTGTTTTTATTAAACCAGTCGTGTTCCCGTGATGAATGTGAGTCACTACATCCTTAACAGCTAGAAAATAAACCTCTCTGCACATGAGGAGTTGCGATGATGTTGTTCAAAGTAGTACCAAAAATACATATGGGATGGGAATCTCATGAATCCAGGATCATTAAAGCATCCTTCAATACACCAAAGAAGGAGAGAATCACAATGAATTTGTCCAGTGAAATGCACTCACCAGCGATTTCAACGAATACAACAAACATGAGTTTCATGAGAAGCTGCAGTCAATCGCACAGACGTGGTCATGAAACAACCTAACAATCGTGACGGGAAAACTAAACACCAAGGTTGGAATGGACAACACCTTGTATGGAGATAACATGAGACGAAACGAACTAATTCGGAGAAACGAATGAAGATGGTGAGAATGGTCAGAGGAACCACCAAATACAATGAACAGCTTGGACACGGCTGAAAAATTTCGAATTCGTGCACGACTTAGCTCTTCTATCTCACAAACAGCAACGAATACAGTTGCAGGCATCCCGTGTAGCAACAGCCTCTTTGCGCAGCGTCGTAACATGTTCAGAGGAAAACAATTTCCTGAAATACATACAACACCAATAGCAAAAACCCAATCACAATTGATCGACAGGTCCTGGACGAGCTGGAAAGTTTCAAGTACCTGGTCAGCATCATGGATAAATAACGAGGATCTTAAGTAAATGTGAAGGCACAGATTGGCAGAGAAAGGTCAGTATTGCGACAATTCAAGATCACATGGAACACTAATTAATTGTCACACAATCCACGTTAACACAGTTCTGTTTCACAGACCAAAACATTCAAGAACTACTACAACCATCATCAAAAATGTACAGGCACTTATAGACAGTTGTCTACACAAGATACTCAATATTCGTTGGATGGATATCATCAGCAAACAATCACTATGATAGAGAACAAACCAGCTTCCAGATGAAGGGAGAAGTCGGAGAAGATGCTGAAGGTGGATAGGACATACATCGTGGAAATCACCAAAATGCATTATAAAGATATCCCTAACTTCCAACCCTGAATGTGAAAGGAAAAGAGGCAGACCAGAGTACACATTTCACCGGGACTTCAAGGCAGACATCATTCAGTTTCAGTTTCAGTTTCAGTTTGGGAAGGACAGGAGGCTCGATGGCCTATGTTAGTCCTGGCAATGGTGGTCTCTCAGTTGATCCAACTTTCTTTTGAAAGAGTCGACGGATGGAGCCTCAACCGCGTGCTGAGGTAGTGAATTCCACTCGTTGATGATTCGATGGGAAAGTCGATAGTCAGCTGACAAGTAATTTGTTCTCGGCTTATGAACTTTTTTGGAGTGTCCTCGTAAATTCTCTGTTTTGGAAGACAAGAAAAATGAGGGCATGTTAGGTGCGAATTTATCACTAAGCAATTTGTAGACTGTAATCAAGTCGCCTCTAGTTCTGCGATATGACAACGGGAAAAGGTTCAGCTTGGTCAGTCGAGATTCATACGGAAGCTTCGCTATTGCGGGAACCAGCTTAGTCGCCATTCTCTGAACCTTTTCCAGAAGCTCTCTGTCTTTTTTAAAGCAGGGGCTAGCCGCTTGTATGCAGTACTCAAGTTTAGGACGTACGAACACTGTATATTTCCTTTTCTCCTTGTCCTTTGGTTTATATAGGAATACAAGCGTTTAGGACATTCTATGGATTCCTTAACAAGTTTTTCTTCGTACAATTTTCTAGACTTACGGAGGGTCGAGGCACAAGTGTTCCGAGCCTTTCGATACTGAGATTTTGACTCATCAGTCCCCAGTAACCTAAATCTATCCCACGTTTTCCTTTTCTTACGGAGAAGGATACGGACCTCCCTACTGAACCATGGTGGTGAGTTTTTCGGGCTCTTTGGTATAGTCCAAGGGATGTGAGGTGTGGTAACTTTTAAGTATGATTTTCGAAATGTGTCCCAGGCCGTTTCAATGGAGGACTCTGGGTCTATTGTCCAATCTATTAACGATGCTGAGTGCATGATGTCTGGTATGTTTGCTTTCCAGACGTTGGGTCTGGACTGGACTGACGCGTCCTCATGACTGGCAGTTATATGGAAGTCGAGAGTTAAAACTGCGTGGTCACTTTTACCTAAGGGTGGCAGATGGTGGAGGTTCGCAACATCATCCTCATAGTGAGTCAGTATAAGATCTAATAAGGATGATTCAGTGTCCGGGTCGTACCTAGTCGCTTCTTTCACATGTTGCACTAGGGCACATGTGATAACCGCATCAACTAGTTCCTGTTCGAAGGAATTTTCTGACGATTCAGTTCGCAGATTTTCCCAGTCTACCATTGGTGCATTAAAGTCCTCTAGGATTAGACATCGACCACTTTGGGACCAAGTATTGAGACTGCTTAACAGGATCTCATTTGCCTCACAGCTTGGACTGCGATAGACCAAACCAATCAGCAGCTCTTGTCCCTTGCATTTTAAGCGAAGACTAACTAATTCACACGTCCCACTCTCATGGGATACACTATCGATAATGGTAAATGGGATAGCATTCCTAATGAATAGAGCTACTCCCCCTCCTTTGCGCTTTTGTGTCCTGTCGGCCCTTACTAACGTAAAGCCCTCGAAATCAAGTTTTATACTATCTATAGCCTGTGTCAGCCAGGTTTCTGTTACTGCGATTATATCTGGCTTTATAGAGTCAATCTGTACACCTAGTTCCGATCGCTTATTAAGTAAGCTTCGTGCATTGGTGTAACAGATACGAAGCCTGTTTAGGTGCCTTCGTGCTTCACCCAGAGTGGCTTCGGCATCATTCTCTGTCGAAGTCTTACAACCCGAAAATTTACAATTTTCAGGTCCTTTTCGCCAGCGTCTAACCTATGTTGTAGTTCTTTCTCGGCTTCCCGTCTTTTAACACGGTCTGCCAACGGTAGGTCCTTTCGGATAAAGACTCCCGAGCCCTTTAATTTGTGTCCATTTTGTAAAATTAGGTCACGTTCGTTTGAAGAGCCGAATACTACTTTAAGCAGTCTGGAATGATTTGGTTTCGAGTCCGTTAGACTCCCTAGTCTATACACCTTTAGCAAGGTGACCCCAGTCATATTCTGAGGCATGAGTTGATTAAGCAACTGCCTAATCAGTACAATATCATGCTCAAAACGAGCTTTAGGTTCAGAGCTATCGCTCTCCTTAATTCTATGAAAAATAGCTAATCTGTCGCTATGATCAGCTTTCGATTTTTCAACCACTTTTACGGAGACAGGTTTCCCTTTTATATCAATACTTTTCTTCCTTACAACCTTTACCCATTCGTTAACGCTGCTGGTAGAAGCAATAGCAGTTGCGTCAAAATTAGTGTTGGGTTTTGGGGGGTTGTCGACGACCTGAGGGGTCGTGTTATGTTGACCATTTGAAACCGATCGAGCCTTGCGATTGCGGCTCTTAGGTGTTTCCTGTTGGATCCCATCTGGGAGACGGGGAACAGAAGACCCTACTTTTCTTGAGCTTTTTTTTAAGGCAGGCCCCTTTGGAGACTGCTTTTCCTTCTTTGACGGGCGTGAGTCATCTATCACCGGACTCACCTTAGTTTCCTTCACATTGATTTGCGTGTCAACAGATCGAGTGCTGTTTGACGCGTTCCGACTATGCTTGTTGAAACACTTCTTTGCAGCATCAACCAGTGAGATAGCCTCGGTTAACAAGCTGTTTGCATCCGAGCAGCACTGTTGACAAAGCCACACACAACCCTTCTTACTGAACCGTTTGAAAGCAGCAGGCGTTAAGTTCGTGCAAACTTCGTGGTACCAGCCTTTGCACTCGTCGCACTGCATGCCGCTTTCAACAGGATAACGACAACCCGGACGTTGGCAACTGCTTTTTTTACACTGTCCGGTCATTTAGGAGGGGTTTTTCAATATGCGATCATACCCAGAAACAAAAAAATTATCAATGACCAAAAAAAGTGAAGAGCTGTAGATTGCTAGGACCAAAAGTACTAACAGATACAGTTGAAAAAGTGGTACTAAAGAGTACCAACGACAAAACAGTAAAAACGATACTTTAGTCGAATACTTTAACTGAAATAAATTCAATTAAAGTGAAAAACAGTAGTCTTGATACGTAATAAACGATCAAAACAATGAAATTTACTCAGCGAGGAAAAATACCACTGTCCTTTTTAAATAGCGCGCAAAGAATGAATAGGACTTAGAAACGACTGGAAAGGAGAGTGTAGGACATAGTTTGTTGGAGAATCTTGGCCAGCGGTTTATGGTCTACGAAAAGTGACACCTGTAGGTGTGTGAACGATCCGTGGAACACACTATGCTAAGGAACAAATCAGCTCCCAGCCGAAGGGAGCATTTGGGTAAGAAGATAAAGGTGGATAGGTTGTGATTTTTGGATCTCGTAAAGACGTATCATAAACGAATTTTTAATTTGGCTTCTTTAACGAAAATTGGAAAGATATAGGCCAATGAACATACAGTGCCGAAAGTGCGAGTAAAACATCAAAAGAGTGAATAGTACGTGACAAAAACTGTAGTAGAGATCATTTTTTAGCTCTCCAAAGTCTATGAATAGTAGAAGGCCTATGTAAGTCGATCGACAAGCTTGATTTTTTTAAACGCTCACATTTGTAAAATTTGAAGGTCAGGGTCGAGTAGGTGGCTTTTCGGAGGTGTGTTCAGTGAGTCACTTCACTGTTTGGGGATGTTGAGGGGTTTGGCTTTCCCAATGAAGTCCTCTACCATCAAACTATTTATCCTGGTTTTTCTTCTCTTACTGGTACTCCAACTCATATTCTTCTACTCCTCAAGCATAGATGGTAAGTAGCATGTGGTGTTAATTTATACGTTAGACTGTCTTCACAATTTCAGTATATTTACTGTACTGTTTTTGTTCAACTTTTTTAAGCATCTTGAAACAACGTTTGTAAGCATCGTATCCGGGTAGTGCTCTTTATTCGCATAATAAGGAAATGACTCTTACCAATTAAATACTCCAGTACTTTGAATTTTCTCTGATAATTATTGGTTGGAATATGGTAAAGATAAAATTTGCAGCAGTTTCCGTAGTTTTTCAGTTAATTTCACGTCCATGGAAAATGGCCTTAAGGGTTCCTTTTGCATATAGAAGTTGGGTGTCAGGGAGTGACTATCTAATAGGATTTTCTTGGTAGAACGAACAAAATACCCGTGGCATACAGGTTTTCACACCGAGTCATCAATACTTGGAACCTGCTGCCTGAAGCAGGGGTGTCCGCACCTTCAATTGACTCTTTCAAGAGAAGACTGGACACTCACAGAAGCATACTAGAAAAGGAATAACATAGGCCGTAGGCCTTCTGTCCTTACTACACAAATCTGAATATGAATCTGAAATCTAGTTCACAAACGTTTTATCGGAAACTACGTCTAAACATGTGTCACTGAAATCCTCTACTAGGGTACACAGCACCCACAATCGTTGGTCAATTGTTCAACTATCCGCTTTACCGATATTGATGGTTAGTCTAAGCTATCTCTCCCGTTCTTACTATTGTAGAAGTTGAGAACGGTAGTTGAATATCCATTTAAAAGTACATTATACCCCAGATATAATGTGCTTGCAAGCACATGGATTTGGAAATTCACTTTGAAATCAAGTTTTTGGAAAAGTTCACTCGTATTTAATCCTGAGAAATAATTGTAGATCAGTTCTTTTCTGTTGTGATTAAGTTTACATCCACTAAAATATAATTTTAATTAGACGGATAAATAATATTGTGCGATATTTCAATCTTGAACTGTTGTCTGCCGTTCTCAATTTGGAAGGCATGTGGTTCTAAATACCATTTAACAACCAAACAGACCCCAAGGAGAAGTCTACTTAGTTTTTGAGCCGAATAAATTTTGGAGGAACGCCGGTGCATTCATTTGACCTATATGTAGAAATATTCTTTGCTCATCTAAGATTCAAATTACTACTTTCAGTAGTCAAAAATATTTCTGTCGCAACACTCCATATCAAAAATCACCACTCTACAACGCGAAGAAACAAGTTATGTAACAACTACCACCGAAATGAGTTTAATTGAGGAAATAAGTAAAGCCGAGATGATGCCCAAGAATTAAGGAAAGAAACATAATCAAGCTCACGAAATGAGATGCTGCACTTATAAGCGTGGATACTGAAGTCACCAGGGAAGTGCAAGACCGGTTACCGTAACTGTTGAAATGCGTTGTTCTGATCTACTTTACGGCTGCGAAACGTGGTCATTAAGAGTAGAAGATGCTTGTAAACTACCAGTATTTGACCACAGCTGCCTTAGAATTATTGCTCGTGCCTTCTGAGATCACCGGGTAAGTAATAGTAAGGTTAGACACAGGGTATTATGAAATGATAGTAAATCAGTCGATGAGGTTGTGAGTGTTCATAGACTGAGATGGTTGGGCCACCTGTTCTTACGTATACCTGGACACCGATTACCATGACGCGCAGTGCTGACTAGTGTTGGAGACGGTTGGAAGAAATTTAGGAGCGGCCAAACTAAAACGTGGCATCAATGCTTGAAGTCACTAACTTCTAGTCTCAGTCATGTTGATAGATGCAGACCACTTGGTTGTGGTCCGTGTGACTATCATAACCAGTGGTTGGAGACTCTGAGTAACATGATACAGAATCGACCACAATGGTGTCGGTGTATATACTTGTTAGGATCAAAATTACAAAGTTAAGCATCATTTGCGGCGAAATGAACAGTGGTATCACAAACTGACTGAATGTGTCCAATCATACCACGTTTAAAGCATCTAGAATTACGAAATATACATAAATCAAATGAGTGAAACTTCCCACGGGATAAACATTTACCAAACTTGTGCTCATCTTCACCCGCTTCTCGACTCCTCAATGAACTGTTATCTGAATAACCTTGAGGATGCATTGGATTGTGATGATGTAGTCCTGATGAACCATTTTATGAAGTTTTACTCATTTACATCATTCGGAATTTGTACATTTTACATGGTCTAGAAGTGGTTTCTTGAGAGTTGCATAAGGGAGTGAAATCTGCTTTTTTGGAAATGCCAAAGCCTTTATTAAGCTGCATGCTTCTTTTCCGATGAATGTAAGGAAATGAGCCACAATATTAACATCTTCAACATCTTCCTTGGTCATAGTCCAGATTTTGAACTTTTCCATATAATCCTCGAAAAATCAAAATCTGAATGTATGTCCAAATGTTTCATCACAGGATTCTGCTCGCATCTCCTTACATTGCTCCACTGCCTTGTGGATCAGACCTTTATGTCAAAGGCTCGTGGTGTGGCCCCCATCAAGACCACACACAAATCAAGTGACTTGTGTGGCACATATGTATTCGGTGCCCCTTAGTACCAATATTTATGTGTTCAAAAAATAAAGAAATAAAAAACACCAAGTCCAAAGGAATCGTTAGTTCATACAAACGCCACAGTGTGACAACTTGAACCGTTGCATTTATCTGCCTGGTTCTACGTTGTAGCTGACTGAATAACTGATCGATCTAATATGAGCTTTTTAATAGCAATAATTTTGGCAAAACACAGTAATTCAGGAAACGTTTGTTTATTAATTATTTAAAAGTATTTTGTGATGTAAAATTCATTTTCGTTAATCCAGAACATTCCGCAGCGTTTCATAATGCAAGGTCACGATAAATTAGAGTTCCTTCAGTAACTTAAAATGCACTTAGTTTGATCACGGTAATTTCTATGTCAAGACTATTAAGGAGTCCATAGACTGTATTTTTAATGGCGCATATTTATTTGGTACCCCCTTGTACCAATATTTATGTGTTCAAATAAATAAATAAAGTAATGATCAATCGCTATGTATACCCAGCTAGAAAAGTCTGTGAATCCTTAGCTTCTTTGAATTTGTTTCCGGTCAATAATGATGTGTGACTGTCTCATATAGTCTGTATTTAAATACCACATTATTTTAACTCTCATCTTGTCTAAAAAACAAGCGTTTAGGGCAATAGGGAACAACTAAATAGCATTGTGTCATACTCTCTTTTAAGCTTTGTAAGGTTAAGACGCAGGTATTTCTGGTTCGTAAACATTTAAAGCTAGTTTCGTCAGCATAAAGTGGTTTTAGTTGCTTCTACACTAATGTTTATCTTTGAATGAGGTTTCAGCTTCGTTGTTAAACTATGTTAGATGGTTTCTTAATCCACTAATGTTTGTATCACTCATGTGTATATTTCTTTGAATTCTCACAATCTGGTATGTACCGGGTTTCTACCTGATTAAACAAATTTATTCAGTGCGCTGCACGTACAATCACTTGAATATATACTTTTTAGGTACTTTGGCTGAATCGGATGCCATTGTTGATAACAAATCTGGGAAGTGAAAAACAACACTTCTTGGTCACTATTACCAAGTACCTGTGTTCAATCAACAATAATGCTGTTTTTTATTTGTACAGTGGAGCTCCCTGTGATTCATATTTTGTTCCTTTTTCACGTGTTGTACAAGAGCAGATGTTATATTCTCATTGACTAAATTTTGACGAGATAGTCTTCAAGACAGAATATCACCTTACTTAACGAATCTTTCGTACAGTAAGCTCTTAAAAGTATATAGTCTGTTTTACAAGACCAGTTATTCATTAAAAAAAGTTTCAGGTACCTGTTCCTTTGACTCTGAAATCACTTCCAAGTCAACAAAGGCTATCAACATTATTGGTCACGCTAAATTATCTAATGACCCTGAACTGATTTTGTCACTAAGTTGTCTCATGCACTGTATCAGTCAATCGGTCATATTCAGTAGAATCTAGTATATATGTACATTGGCCTAATTTGCTACACCATATTAGCATAGTGAGATGCAGTTATCAAAACAAATGGTAAATAATAGAATTAATAGTATCAATGATCGTAAAAAATATTATTTGATAAGAGGGAATGAATCGAAAAAGAAAATATACAACATAATTCTAAAACTGCAAATCTAAAACGGACAAACAGTGAATGCTCCTAAACCACCTCTATCAATTCTGAGTTGTCGTCAAATGTCCCTAACTATTGGTCTTGATAATTACAAGGACCTCGAGACGATAGTCTATATATGCAAACATGGTTTGTCGCGTAACATCTTTGTACCGATAAATCCGGAGGTATTTATAACACCACCACTAGTAATGGCTTCTGTCTTCTGGATACAATCTGAGAAGCACATGCAATACCATGTCCGAAGAAAATTGTGATGATGCTATCAACACATATGGATTTTGGGAGGAAAAATAATGAGCATCGGATGAGTATTTCAGTGGTTTTGTTTCGCAAAAATTGAATAATTTATAGAGCTTCATCGTTTTTTTCAAAAAAATAACAACACATAGTTTGAATGTCGCTTCCTGTGACCTAGTATGTGGCCTTTTTTTGTTGGTTAGGATTTCTCTAATTAACTTGTTCGTTTGACCTTTTTTCAATATATTAAACAAAGTTTATAGGATCTATTCGGTACATATAAACAGTAGAGAAAAAGAAAATGAAGACAGAAATGATAAGATAAATAAGAGGACGTGAGAAATAAGAGTAATAATAAAGTTACAAGACGTTCAAAATTTGAGAAATAAACAAATAGTAAATGGATATATACTGTTATGATAGGCATTTAACCGTTTTCTCAACACATAGATTACTTATTTCTATCATTACTTGGAGATTAGACCGAGGACGTTTCAGCTACGATAGTTGGTAATTTTCTAGACTGATTCATTAGGAAATTTCTCCTACAATCACTATCATAATTTGTGATGAGTAACGACTTTACATCTTTAACATAATCCATAAGTTTATGAAAGTAAATGTCCTTTAATTGATGAGAAATAGTTATAACTAATTTTTACTTGAACACATAAATATTGGTACAGGAGGGCACCAAATATATATGCGCCACACAAAACAATGAGAATTTGCAGAGAAGGAAAAAAAAGTAAGGAGCGTAAAAAAAAACGATAACGAACAGATTAGTGTAAGGTAGTGTAATAATAATAATAATGGGGGAAACAGAAACGTACACTCAGAAGAGATCTTTCAGTTAAGGAAGAAGCAACCACTTTTTATAAAGAAATTAAAAGGTTACAGCAGGATCGCCAATGGCTTCTATTCTGAGCCATATCTGATAACGTCTCTACTCGAGAACGTTTAGATAGAATCGAAAATCCACCATAGGCGAACTGCTGTATAAGTCGAAAAATAAGGATAGACAGAGTAGGAATAAAAGAGAGTGAATAAATGACGTAGTAAATAATAACAATAGTAGTAATAATAATGTGAATCGTTTGATTAATAGTTGAAGCAAGAAAAGTATTTTCCATAATTATCGACAGTTCATCATATTTGTGTGAGGGCCGTGATACTGCTCGGATGCCCAGACCGAAGCAGGTGGTTATCTTAGGGGGCCACACCCCGAGTCTTCGACCTGAAGGTCTGATCCACAAGGTAGTGGAACATTGTGAGGAGATGCCGTCCCATGGTAACCGGTGACCAACGATTGGTTCATACGCCATTTGTTCCCGCAGGATACTGGAGCCCATATGCACCAATGGTTTGGAATCCGGTTAAAGCGCCGGACATTCGTTTTTCGTCCTCTCATTTTCGTAAACAGTAGTGCCACGAAAAGGCAGGGAGTAGGACTTCCCTGGGATGGTGTATAGTAAATTAATCATATAGAATTAGAAATATTTAACTATATAGTTACACAATAAAAAATCAATGTGGCGGTGTTTTTGCTTGTTATCTATCTCCAAATTGTCAGGAGTAATTTTCGATTTGTAACATTGTGGTTCTTATACACTTCGTGTTTTTTTTAATTCTTAGTTGTCAATATAGTTGGTCAACTAGGTAATTCGGGATTAGCGGATAGTGGCGGTAGATTTGGCCCACGTGATCAATTGGAGACACTTGGTGATATGGGTCGTCCAGTTGTCTTACCTGAGTTTCTAAAAGCTGAATCTAAGCTCACATTTCATGTAAATGAATTCAATCTTGTTGTTAGTAATTTGATTGGTCTACGTCGTAATTTAGATGATTTTCGTCATCCTAGGTAACGTTTGATACGTAATTGTATGTATGCATCTATTATATATATTCATGTTTTAGTTTGTTTCACATGTTCAGATGCATATTTATTACTGAGGATAAGTTGTTTCGTTTAATATTTAAGACAAACTAACAGAAAACTCAAAATTTAGGTTCTGTATATATATTAGGACGGTCTGTGTGTTACTTCCTGTAACTCTAGTTATGCCACTAGATGGTGTGTATTCGCGTTGCGTTGTAAGCATAATTCTCCCTAGAATGATAAATCTCTCTGTCTAGTTTTAAACAAAGTAATATTTAAGTCTAATGGTTCCACGTATTGCACAATCAGTTAATAATATATGATTAGTAATGATTAAGACCTGGTGACTTACCTACGTTTAATCTTTTCGGTGTGTAGCACTGAAATACAAAGGATTTTTCTAGGAGCGTTGAAAAAAATTAGTGAAAATCTAATGATGAACATAGACCAAAACGACTGATCTGTAAATAAGTACTGGTTTTGGTTACAATAGAAACTCAACTACGAATATTCTTTTCTAAGTTGCCTCATGTATTGTCAGTCTGAGTTAGAAGATTTATCTGTTCTGATCATTAAAGATAACCATTTGTTTTACTTTTAGCTCTCTGACAGTAAAAATATTTATTTGAACACAAATAATGTACAGATGGGCGCCGAAAACATGTGCTACACAAGTCACTTGATTTGTGTGTAGTCTGTGATACTGCCCGGGTGCCCAGACCGAAGCAGGCGGTTTGCTTGGGGGGACATACCACAAGCCTTTGACATAAAGGTCTGATCCACAGGGCAGTGGAGCAATGTAAGGAGATGCAGTCCCATGGTAGCCGGGACCAATAATAGGTTCATAAGCCATTTGTTTTCTCAGGATCTCGGAGTGCATGTGCACCACTGGTTTGGAATCAGGGTTTTCTAACTCCCCAAGATGGACCCTATGTGTCCACCGACCCGGTTAAAACACCGGACATCCGGTTTTCTTCCCCTCAATTCCATAAACAACACCCCCGCCACGAGAAGGCATTGAGTAGGACTTCCCTGGCAGAAGCTATATACGCGTGGCCATATGAGAGCATTTCGAGAGGGAGAGCGGACTCTCCCCACTGTCTGCCGTACCAGGGCATTTGGGGGCAATATAACTCTCCTTAATTACTGTATAAAAAGTTCACATATTCTACTGCTTTTTATGCAATAAAAAATAAAATAGTATGTTGTCACTGGATACATTTTTGTTTCTAAATATTCTTTAAATCATAACACTCGTATTTTCAGTGAAAATTCCCTTCATTGAAAAGCAAATCATAAATTATAATCATAACATTGAATAGAAAAGTTTCAAGATGTAGTTGCTAAGTAAAAATATAAAACCTAACCTTAACCTCACGGTAAGCAAAATCAATATTTTTGTAATTTTCCCAAAAGTTAAAATGAAAAGCATTTGATCCATGAATAATAACCAGGGGGTTTTTATGTAGAAATACCTTTTATGATAATAGAATAACAAGAAAAAGAAAGAAACATTTTTTGCGAGTATGCGAATAAAATGTAGCGAAGTTAAAACATAACAAGGCGAGGGACTTAACTATTATTATTATTATTATTATTATTATTATTATTATTATTATTATTATTATTATTATTATTATTATTATTATTATTATCAATGGCTTTATTCAATGTAAAGCCATTAACAAATTGTCACACAAAGTTTATTTGAGATTTTGTGTGGTTAGAGCTTATACAATGTAAAATAGATGTATAATGAAGGATGTAATCTATCTACTAAATACATAATTGTCAAAAAGATACTATTTGTAAACTCTGAATTTAGTAATGTTGCTGGTGATACACATGGAAACTGTTTGAAGAGGTCTAGACTGTTCGTTGAGGTATATTCTTTCATACATTATAGAGGATTTTTTAACATGGCTTAGGAAAAGTGCAACGTAGGTTAATTACATCTTATCTCCTATGCTTACCTTACATTGTATAAACCATACAACATCTCAGATTAACTTTGTGTGTCTGGTGAAAATTTGTTAGATCTCTCGCTTTATCATGCTTTTAACTTCGCTACGTTGCATTCTCATCCTTACGAAAATATAAATTTTTCTATTTGTTGTTCTATTGTCATAAAAGATGTTTTTAGATAACAGACATACAAGTTGTCTTTAAACTCATATCTTTATCCATAGATACGTAATTGTACAGTTTTGTAAATGAATTTGTTATGAAGGCTCCTTTCATTGGACTATTATTTCTAATAGCGTAAAAGGGTCTATACAAATTAGTTCCTCATTATCATCATATTATCATGAGTGTTCTCTCTGTAGAACCGTTATTAAACGAATTGAATCCTCAAAAGATCTTTAAATGTTATTTGACAGTTTTTGTATTACTTTATAAGGGCAAGTTTGATGATTTTAAAAATAAATTCAATAAAACTTTGATGCCAAGATGGATAGTGGTTATCAGTGGAATCCAGGACTCGCGTTTCGTTCTATTTGGGACTCGTCAGCTGGATGTATCTGCATCTCAGGTTTGATGTTCACTCTGGAACTCGAACACAGTTCCGTTCGCTTCAAACGCCGTCGCGTTATCCACTTCAAGTCCTAGAGCTAACACCAACTTTGAGATGCAGGTACATCCAGCTGATGAGTCTCAAGTAGGATGAAATGCGCCTTCTGGATTCCACTGCTAGCCACTGTCCATCTTTGCATATAATGCTTGTGAATTAAGACTATATCGAGGCAATACGCACAGTATGCACATATTCCAATAAGAGATAGACTAATTGGAGTCCTGAACATCAATGGGAAGATTCAAACAAATAATACCAAGTGAATTTAAAACTTTGGTGTTTATCAGATTTTTTTATTTAGTTAAAGAAGTGACTCATCAATTAGTAACTATGTTCTCACTATGTGTTTTTTTACCGCTAACCTATCTATTGTTTACCGGTATCATATATTCTCAGTATATAGAGTTCATACGGCTGTATCAATCAAACGAATTCTTTTTATTTAAAAAAAAACGTCGTCAGTTGACATACAGAATGGTTTCTGTATTAAACATGAACACTGAGAAGTAACTAATATTCTGTTGTTTAGATTTGAGTGTTGATCGAATTCTCCTAACTAGCTACCTGGATGGCTACTTTTCAACATAACTATGATATTTGATGATACTAGTTTAAATCATACAAGGATCGTCAATCGCTACATGATCGAACATCCACTTTGCTAGTGAGGTTGTCGAACAACATGAAACAGGTCCATGGGCTCTTGACAACTGCCTTTAACCACATAACATTAATAATATCTTAGTGCTAATTAAATATACTCTAAATAAAATTGTAACTTTGAACAATACAGTTCTCACTAGTTAGGAGATATCTTGGAGTTATTATTAGGTGTTCTAATCAGTAACTTTAATGTTTTAGCCCTTCGTTTCGTGGTTTCGACGTGTAGTTTTTATTAATGATCAGTGCATCTATGTCTATCTGTTTTTCTTTAAGTGGTAAACTTTGTATAGGATCTGAGATTATAGAGATTTGTAGCTCAGGAGGATGATGTTGGTGGAGTTTCTTTCTCCGACCTGGAAAATTTCCATCAAAAAAGGTTTTGTGAACTTATTTATCAGGTCCAGTTTTGTGTAATTAGTTTTCAGATACACTTTAGTGTAAAGGCTAATAGTACTACTCAGTTGTCCAAACCAATCAAAGGTGAGAGAGAGTTCAAACCTGTGACTTAGGGGTTTAAAGTTGATCACTTTAACCAATGAGCCGCTGTTATCTTAACGTGTATAAGATATTATATAATTAGTGGATTTTTACGTTCTGAGCTTTGCAATTAGTTCAACACCAATATATTATATAGATACTTGATTCTAGTGAGTAAATAAAAACACAAACACAAAGTTCTTGTGATTTTGAACATTTTAAGCTCACGTAGATCAATTGAAGTAATCTAACCAATTATCCTATGAAGAAGAGTTTTGTGAATTCCTAAATCGTTTAGGGGTGTTAAATAGGTTTTTTGTTAAAATGACATGATATTGATATGGAAAGCTTAGTTAATCTAATATAATAAATTGAGAGGACGAAAAGCGAATGTCCGGCGCTTTAACCGGGTTGGTGGACATGGAGGATCCACCTATGGGAGTTGGAAAACCCTGATTCCAAACCAGTGGTGCACATGGGCTCCAATATCCTGAAGGAACAAATGGCGTATGAACCAATTGTTGGTAACCGGTTGCCATGGGACTGCATCTCCTTACGATGCTCCACTGTCTTGCGGATCAGACCTTCGGGTCGAAGGCTCCGGGTGTGGCCCCCTAAGGAAACCACCTGTTTCGGTTTGGCACCTGGACGTATCACAGCCCTCACACAAATCAAATGAGATTTGTGTGGCGAATATGTAACTGGTGCCTCCGTGTACCAATATCTATGTGTCAAAATAAATATAACTAAATAAGTATCCGAAATATAATTCAACAAGGACTGGTTTCTTTTTCTTATATTCAAGTTATATTGTCAGCTAAATCATGCCATTGCTGAGAGAATGAATAATGGGAATTTTTTTGCGTCCATTATAATTCTCTATTTAGTATTTTTTTTAAACACAACAGCAAAAGATACAATGGCAAAAATGTTAGCGTTTATATCAAATTAACGTAGAAATCTTTCAGTGTTTTTACAATCTATCCACTAATTGTGATTGATTAGTAATTGACCAGTTATCTTCCTGACTTGATATTGATATAAGTATGCAGTAGCCGAGGTTCCATCCTCCTAATTCTTCTCCTTGATCAAATTTATATAAACTATTGTCAGGATCTAATTTCATCAAAGTGATTGGTTGACGCTTCTAATCTAGCCACCTTATTCACAATAAGGATATATCTCTGTTTATCTGCTCCGGGAAAAGCTTGACTATATTTAATGGTATCATATGATAGCTCTCGTTGATATAGATAGTATTCACCTT